GATGCTTATTATACGTTGACATAACAGTGGAGAGATATAATTGTATCCCTACACCATTGCATGATAGTTGAGGAAACTAGTGCCATATTTAATTAGGCATTAATTCACTTTTCAACTTAATTCTCTCTCCCACTCCTTGCTCCTCTCACGCACTCTCCTCCTCGTCGCTCGTGACCTCGTCACCTTGGCGCAAGTGGCATGAGGAATGACTTCGGTTCACTTTTGGCGGAGGTTGAAAGATGCAAGGAAGGAGCAAAAGGCCAACTATCACCGGGGGGGAGGGGAGTTTATGTTCCCTCGACTGCCTGAACCCAAGTCCTCTTTCACTGCTCCTCCCAGCTCCCTCATTCCCTCCTATTGTGTGTTCGCTGTAGTAGCATCTGGTTAATGGGCCTCTTCAGTGGATAGTCTCTTCCATCTTCTTACATACACACACATTTTGTGCAGGCGTACAAACACACATACAGTACAGATAGTTTAGTTTTCCCTCTTTTTAAGACGTCTTAGTGGAAAAGTCTGCTGCTTTGGAACTGGTTGAATGTGTGAAGGACATTTTGTGAAGGACATTTAGTAATTTTGAGTCCGTCTGTACACATGTACAACTTCCTATTGGATATAGGTTTGTATTGTATGTGTGTGTTATTATAGGCATTAAAAAGATTATTCTGGACAGTGCAGCAGTTAATATTAGCTATTGGAGGGGTCATATAAATATTGTTTCTCTCTCTCTCTCTCTCTCTCTCTCTCTCTCTCTCTCTTCTCTGTCTGAAACTCACCCTGGTGTCTTGAATTCAAGGTTTTCCTCCATGTGTTCAGTTCAGCATTGTCCTCCTTTGACTAATTCCACACCCTGAAACTGAAGGACAAACGTTAATGAATCCCAGCAGTGATTTCTGTACACGGAATAGAGGAAATGTATTCTGGCTGCAAACTGTCTAATTAGCTAGATGAAGACGTGGGTAGAAGATGGCACAAAGGTTCTAGAAAGTAATGCTGTGTGTGTTTTTGTCTATGTGTGTCCTCTCCGTTGGACACCGGTTTATGTACAGACTGCTGGACCCCTGGACCTAAACTCTGACCAGGTTTGTACAGTGCAAGCCACATCCAATCAAGGACAATGCCGGTGGCCTTTTTTTCAGAGAGTTGGCAGAATTAGCTAGCTAGGAATGCTCAGTGTTGGACACAACATTACAGGGCATTGTGTTTGACCGGTCCCATCCTAACAAATAAGCAGGGATCAAAGGATAAGAGCACCATTATTAAAGCCAGCTGGAGACCTGACGCAGACTAGAGGCATGCTAACATGATGCTATTAATGTTACATGTTCACGAGATAGCATACAACTCTATGCAATGCTTGGCTTTTCAAACGTAACATGACAAATACAGCTACACAAACAGTTTGTTGTCACAGTATGTATTACAGTATTTACTGATGTTGTAGTGGACCACTACAAAAAAAGAGAATCTTAAACAAAATTGTAAAAAGAGGAAACCGGAAACTTTCATTTAATAAATGATTTTAAGCCATTTGTGGCATCTTGCTTGCTAATCTGCAATATTGCATTAAGCCTTGTGGTTGTGCTGATACTGCCAAATGTCCACATCTTGGCAAGAGTTCACTGGCAATGACAAGACTCTAGACAAAACCTGATTGATTTAATGTTAACAAAAATAATAAACAAAGCCTCTTATAGCAGTTTGATTGACTCAGCCTGCATTATTCTTATACCACTGAGCTATTACGCCTCCTCAATGATGGATAAGGAATCAATATCCTACCATGATATTATCTGCTGTATTTAGTCAGTGTAAACTTTGCTTTTAGCTCCCTATCACTCCAGACACATGGTTTTATGTCCTCATGTCTGGAATGTGCGGTTCACTCATTCACTGAAAGGCAAAGGAAATGTGTTTTCCAGATAACATTACAGTTGCAATAAAGCTTGGCTTGGGCTGTGATTGAAACAATACTGTGCCTAAGCCGCACTGAGCCCACCTGTTTGTTCTTCCGTAATTGGATTCTGCTTCATTCCATTTGCCTTAATGCTGATGCATAATGCAGTGTACTGAGGGGACCAGCCATTACCAGCCAGGGGACAAGGCTTGGAGGAGTAACCCGACCTCGCCCCCCCCCCACCGTCCTCCCCCCACCACACCCTCTCTGGGACATCTTTTCAGGGCCTCTGTCCTTCAAATCAGCCACCCTCTCAGGCTGGATGGATTGATGGTCGAGGCCGTGGGCCGGATGGGAACCATAATAGCAGGTGTTGATGTTACGGCCTACAAGAACAATAAGCTGGCCCTCAGCAGCATGTTAATCCAAAATAAACAGGCGCTGGCGTGGGCGGTTTGGGCCACGGGTGGAGGGATCCTCATCAACACAGAGAGCATGAAGAGCTGCTACCAAGAAAGGAATGTAGAACCAACGCTTAATCTTTCCTTTGTAGTGAAGAATGTACAGCAACACACCTCAGTCATCTGCGGCATGTCAACACAATAGACACATCCAAGCTCAGTTGAACTCATTTAGTTGGCTTTTGTAGTCACAGTAGTTGAGCAAAGTAAAAGTGTGGCTGGTCATTGTCATATGCTGTATTTATAAAAAGCATAGATATGATAGATTTTTTCCACTGTAACTATATAATATATAATTGGTGAACACTACTTTGATCACTGTAATTGTGATATCTGTTCACTTCTTGCACCTTATGTCCATAATTCTCCTTGCGTAGGAGGTGGATAACGTGTTACGGCCAAATCTATAAACATCGCAACAGCTTCACAAACTGTCATCATGACAGAGACTCCCACATGCCTTTTGCCATTTTCATCAGGGCCATACTTCTCTCATGATCAGCTGCCTTTGCTAAGTGGCTGGTGTCGATGGCTGTGACTCAGCTCTGCCCACAACAATGATGAAGATAAGACATCTGGAGACGGTGTGTGCGCACACTTGGCCGTGTATGTGCACACATTGAAATTGGGAGCACCAAGTAGTGGAAAAAAGAACTGGAGCAATAAGAAGAGTGACATAAATTGTGTGGGTACTGGTGTGTATATATGACTGAGTGGGTGAGCGGCGGTGGTCAAGGTTCATTAGGGTGTCATCGGCTGCCTCCACACTGAAATAATAAGGCTCTCTCTCTCTCTGTCTTCCTTCCACTTGCTTCCCCCTCTGCATCTGCTGAATATGAACTGAGCTGTGAAAAAGGGCATCTGATCTCATGCCACCTCTCTGGCACACTGACACATGACTAAGAAACAGATAACAGCTGATGAAGCGACAACATTAAAATGGTAACAGCAAGGTCAGGAGGTGAGAGGCATAGAGAGAGAGAGCTTGATGAGCTGTAGAGAAGGCATTGCAAAATAAAAGTGATTGAAAGAGTGTGTGGTATGCATTTGATAAAATACTGGCATCTGGATCTCAGGGTAAATCAGGAGTACAGGTGCATGCGAAATGCAAGACAGGATGAGATGGATTTCTATCTCTGACCCCTTCCATAGTTATTAGTCAATAATTTTAGCAATGAACACATCAGATATCACACTACAGAGACAGCTCACTGCTTTTTCCACTGCCTCAACATAAAATAGATCCTGGCACGTTGATTGCAATGCTGTGTACAATTTGTATCTAAAACATTCTGCAGAAATGAGAGAATTGTTATTTTACACAATATACAGCAACACTTCCAGACAGACATGAAAATCTGTATCTTGTGTATATGTGCACACATTCATTGGTATACGTACAGTAAATATTATAAAGGCAAATCAGTTGAGCTTTGATGAATGGGTATGGCCACGCTGACAGACGAGGAGAGAGGGTGACACAGCTGGGAGGAAGGGAAGGGAAGGGAAGGGAGGGGTTAGGTAAAGGTTCACTAGAGAGGAGTTGACAGATCCCAAATGGTAGCCTTTGAAAATGCTTGGCTTCATTGCATCAGCTGTGGAATGATCCACAGAAGACATAAAATGATGCCCGAAAGACATCTCAGTGGACAATATCTCTCTGGAGCTACAGGGGATAGTATAAATGAAAACCACTTCTTAGTAATATAGCATTATATCACAATAGTGGGAAAAGCCTGCAATGTTTGCTATGGGGTCCTGACACAAGACAACAGCATGTATTTTTAAACTACTGTACAATTTCCTGCTATGATGGATGCACGCAGTATGCACCCACCATGCTCCAACTGACATGTGTTTGACCCCTATCCAGGAGACAGCACCTGGTGCCTCACCACAACACCATTAGTGGTCAACCACACACACACACACACACACACACACACACACACAGACACACAGAGACACACACACGCACACACACTCCACATGAGATATTTTTAGGGCATGCGATACAACCACTATGGTAGCTAACTCTCATGGAGATTCACACCCCATGGGCTTGACAGGAAGGCATCCATTTCCTGACAGCAACCGCAAACCATCCGCACATGCAGCACATACATCCTCCGTGTGTGAACTTTGTTGAGAGTGTTGAGGTTTTTAAGACAGTTAAACACATACATGTATTCACATAAAGTATTAGCACAACATGATATCTTCCATTTTTAGTGTTTTGGAAAAAGCCAAAATGACACAAATTCCTTGATCCCCCCACTAAGCTGCTGCCAGTTGTAGAATCTAAAATGCTACAATTAAACTGTAAGCAAAGCACTCCACTTTCCCTAGAGAGATTTCCCTACCACATCTGCAAATACTTTCTAGCTATAATTTCACAAGAACCATGACTAACCCTACAAAATCCACTTAAGAGTCAACATTAACTATCTGAAAGTTCATTTTCTTCTCAATGAACTACCTCAGTTTTAACTGGTGTCTACGGTGAAGAACACATATTCACTATTAAAAATCAATTAATGTAGAACTGTATATGAAGAAAAACATTGATAAGTTCACATGTGATTCTGCATGTAGTATTACATTAACACCCTCCTTACCCATGTCTTCTGCATTGTTTTCAGCCTCCACCATTGCTGAGAACGGGAGAAAAACATGCCTGAAGCTCAAAGTTTTCGTCCGACCATCAAGTAAGTGTTTGCATGCAACACAAAGCTTTGTAATAGAGCTTGTTGAAGTACACATTTTGGATTGAAAATCAAAACAATTTATGTCTACCTCTCTGGTTACCTCACTTCCCCCCCAATTACCTTTTGCTCACTGTCCAACATATCCCTTTCATTTATCACAAAACTGCTTTACTTGCTAAGAAAATGTTATTTTTTTAAAAACATGAAAAGGATGATAGATGATCACATCAAATGAAATCCAGGTCCCTTCATACCTCATCTGAATGTTGCCATGAGCTTTGTTGCTTGGGATGTTTAATTTCAGGGCCGAGAGGGGGGCTTCAAATGTCACTAACCTATTTGGCATAAACCTCTAATGATCTCTCATTCTCCCTATTTTCTGTTATAGACAGCTGTGTGAAAACTATAGGCGTACATGACCGCGTTTTTGATGTAAACGACAAAGTAGACAATACATTAGAACCACGAGGTTAGTATGGCTTCCTGCTTTTTTGATTGTCTTCAGTATGACCTCCATACATCTGTACATGTGTCTCTTGTTCTGTGCCTGTTTCCTTTTATGCTGTTTGTCTGGAAGCTGATCTGTCCTTCCACACCCTTGCCTGATGCTTCTCTTACACTGATTCTTCTCCAGAGTACCAAAGTTGTGTCATGCTACTGTTGCTTGCATATTATATATATATATATATATTGTATGTTGAAATTATGAAACAAAATAATACATATACATATATATATAGTTTATATATGATGACTCATAGATGTGCATGTTTTACACTTTTCAAACCTTTTCACAGATTCACACGTCATCACACTGCATGTCGTTCTCCATATCATTACTCTAGATGTATTACAAGACTTTTAATTACTATCACTCTGCCCTAATACCTCAGAATCAATAAATATAATCAATTGAATGTTATGTATGCACATGCACATACATTTACATATCAAAGATAGATTTGGAACATTTTAATGTTCTGTTTCCCTCCTCACTGAGCTGCTGTTTCACTCTGCAGCACAGCATCATACATGAGCCTAACCCAGTCACTGTAACACTCCACATCACCCACATGCTGATTTCTCATCCCTCACCCAAAGGTCTGAAACAACACAAAAACCGCCCCACTGGGAATGAATAACAAACTGTCAAATAAAGGACATTAGTCATTAAAAAAAAAAATTTTTTATGGATATTATTAATTTGAAAATAAGACCTATTGCATTCCAAAATGTTTTTTCTAAGTCATAAACTGGCATCTCAATGGTACACACAAACATACACAAGGCCAGATCCTCAGACATTTGTGATGCCCACCTGCCTCTCCTCCTGCAGGATTTTCTATCAGCCCATTTGCTCGCCTTATTATCCTGCCTGCCTGTTTGATGGCTGCCTCTCACCTTGCATGCTTCTTTTATTTCATCCCCCTATTACTCTCTCCAAAGGAGGGAAATTAAAACATTAATTTGCCATCTATTGTCGCCACGTCCCTCCACCCCCTACCACACACACACACACACACACACACACACACACACACACACACACACACACACACACACACACACGTGTAAAGTTATGTAACTGTCCTGTCCTCTGTTCTATCTATCTGTCCTTTGCATGGTTCAGCTACTTTCCCATGGTGCAACGGGCACATGGCTGCTCACAGATATTGATGCTACTGCCAGACAGACACAAGAGGCAGCTCACCTGGGAGATGAATTAAAAAATGTTTCTGATGACATTCGAAGCATGATATAGCAACCTAAGTTCATATGGCAACTCAGACTTCACTATTACTTTACACTGTTATGAACATGAGCCCAAACATCTCAGTCTCCAATAATGACTGTTATTCGTTTCAACATTGGGTCAACTTATGGATTTGTACACCACAATAGAATACAATAATTCTATGTCGTCTTCTGTCTGTGATGCACTGCTGCAAAAGAGCAGTTTGTACCAGAAATAGCAACTCACAGTGTTTCTTTTTTCTCATCCTTCAGACGATACCAGCCACGAACCGGCTGAGCCTTCCCGAAGTGACGAAACAAACGCTGCGCCGCACCTGCAGAAAACATGTCCACTCCTGGCTTTGTTGCTGGTCTGCCTACCAACACTCTTCACTTTATAGCGCCTCCCTCTGTCCCAGAGGGCATTAACACCTAGCGTGGCCTGAATCTGCCCAAGGCTGCAGGGAAAGGGGCGGGATTTGGGTGGAGCGTGTTTGCTTGATTGGGGATCAGAGCAGGAACCCTCTATTTTTTTCAGAAATATATTTAAGTGGTCTTTCTCCGTCTGTGAGTAAAAAAAAGTTGATGTTGGAAGTGGGAGAGATAGTTCCCCCTCTTCAACCTTCAACTCAGATGCCAAATCCCGTTTTTTGACACTTAGTGATTCTTATTTTCCCGTGACTTTTTTGTGACATCCCTTTACATCATGTTTATGTCATTGCAGCACAGATGTTTACCCACACACACATAGACATATACAGCACATACACATGCTTAGAGAGTCAAACGCAAAAATCTACACAGTCAATAGCAGTAGGGTTTTAGTTGTATACAGTAGCAGCATTACACAGTAGGAAAGTGAAGATTCTAGGACTTAGAAAGGACTGTATACACAAGTAAACAGTTGTCCCGAGACCTCTCAAGAAGCCTTTCAGAAAATATTTAGATTAGTTCTGCTGGGTCACAGGAAAGCATGTTGTTGCGCCTCTATTTTACTGCCAAGTGCAGTATAAATCTGAAAGATGGAAAGAAGGAAAAGAAGACGGTTTAAAGCAGAGGTTAAACTAGAAACTACAGCACTGAGAAATACATACATAGCATGCACCTTAGCCAGCCTTTCCTGGTTTTAAAAATAGTGTCCAATCTTCTCTCGAATACAGAGTGTGTGCATTAGGTGGATAAGCTACTTAGAGCTTGAGTGAGTGGGTGTAAAACCCATGGAACCATGAGGCAACTTTTTCTTGTCCTCCTTTGTGTAAAGCACGCCGACCTGCTCAATAAAACACCATTTGGCTTTTGGTTCACTCCATCTCACAAAACAGCTAAATTGAAACTTTCTCTCCAGACACTTTGTGGACTGCTATTAAGATCGAGGATCGATATCTTTTGAAAGTTGATCACACAATTTCACGGCAAGAGTCACAGTTATTTTATGCAATGTTTACTGAGCTGGGCAGCAATTGTTCTCTCTCTTCCATTTGAGTATTAGTCGATATTAACACGCCCATAAACATTTGCATCCACAGCTTTTTTTTCTCTGATTCTGATTGTTTTAAAATGATTCACAGCTAAATTGGACACTTTTTTTCTAAACCATTAAGTTATTTTACTTTGCCACTAGTGTCAAATATTGAAGACACTGTAAACTATGTATTTTTGTATTGTCTGAAATCCACTTAAATGAGAGAGGTCATGGGAAAGTGTTTGAAAAGACACTTCACATAACCACAGCTTTGACCAGCTCATCAAAAATTAGTTAGCCGGTTTTCACATTCAGTTTTATTGAAGCAGTTAGCGCAGCATTTACAGGACTGATGCCTAGCTCCAATTAGTTGAAAACACATTGTGTGATCAGAGAAACTATCAGTTTAATTCAAGGCAATGCACAGCTCTATTTAGTCTAGCCAGGTTTATGTTAGCACTTACATTCAAATGAATTTACTGTGTTATAATGATATTCCGTTTCCTTCAGCTCCCACAGATGCACATGGCGAGTTAGCATAATGAAAGCTATTATCTCTTTTTTCAAACGGAAGGGACTTGTTTCTTTGCTTTCTAAGAAGTATGGACAGAGAAATTAACTCTGCTGAAGCCAACTTCCTTTCAGAGTCAGGTTTTTGTATGAGAAATAGGGCACCAATTGGTTTGGAAAGACAGATAGAAAGAGAGAAGTAGAGCAGGAAAAAGGAAGAGCACAGGAGCAATTGCATGTCCACCTTCAGCTCCTAGTGTTACTGGTTTAAGTGACTCTTTAATGAGGTTCAAAATGACAGGCATGTGGACCCCATGTTGTGGCAAGGGGAGTTATTTCTGGTATTAAAAATAGATGGTGGAAGGCTTGGGGGGTCTCGGGAGGGGGGTGTAGATTTCCACCATGGGGGGTTTTAAAGCACCAATGACCTTGCAGTTTGAGAGAATTGGTGAGTGAAGGAGAGAATTAAAGAGAGAGACAGACATACGAAGAGATAGAAAAGACATGGGAGGTAGCGGAAGGTAGTGTGACTAGAGTGCCTAACAAAACAAAACAAAACAAAACAAGACAACCTTAAAATCCACACAACACTACTGGAAAAAAAACCCTACCTGATTCAATGACAAACTTACTGTTCAGTGTCATTTTGTTATTACCGTTTCATTTTTATGGCTGCCTTTTTTTCTGCTTTTTTTACCCCCGGAAAGACTGCCTTTGCCTTTAGCCATTTGTTTTTTTTGCTCTATGGTAACAATGCTATTACAGTGGAATAGCAGCTCAGCTATGGGGGGTAAAAGGAGACGAGGCCATTTAATGAGGTACTAATTTTCAGGAGAACACCACAGGGAATGAGCACCGCATAAGATTCAAAATGGACGCTTGTCAGCAGATTAACACTAGACTTTTATCAGAAACCAGCTTCAATTGTACTCTCTTATAGTTACCAATACTACTATTTGTCATTATTGCTATTATTACCATGGTTTATTCTGTACACACATTAACCTGGGAAATGAGGATCAACTTATAAACTGGATACTGTGTATCCTGAGGTAGTCGACCATAAAACAATGTAGTGTTAGGTTAGTATCTGTTTTGTACCTTTCTGGAGGACAAAAGAAAAAAATGAGATACATCATTGTTAAAACTGTATAATTATTATTATTGTTATGATGATGATGATTATGACTATTATTATTAGGAAAACTTCTTGATGTAAATAGTGTTTGATATTAAAGTATTAATTTGGTTCTTATGTCTTTTCTAAAAAATGAATACGGTATTATCTCTGGGTTTTGCGGAGTGTGTACTGTCCTCAAACAATGCATTGTGTGCTTTGATCCTCAATGCCTAATGAAACTTTGAGCTAATATGAAGGGGAAACCTGTGGGAGCTGTACATCAGTGTACAGAAGGCTGGACATTAGCCAAATGAGTGGCTCACCTGTTACATGTTTCAAACCAGTCACCAACCTTCACCATCTCTTCACATAAGGATCCTGCCTTGGAAAGAAACACTTGGGTCTTAATGGACGGCTTATTTGTACTTTTTTGCCTTCAGTGTTCGAAAGCATGTTGGTCAGCTCCAAGATCTGCCATAAGTGGACTGTTTGCTTTTTAATGGAAGGATCTTGCCAGTTTCATTATGTGGCATGCGCATGAACTTAATGACATGTAAAAAAAAAAAAAAAAAAAAAAAGAACAAAAAAAAGTTTTAAAAAGATAGTTTTTCTTTTGCTCTTATTTTCTTTTTCTTTAAGACGTGTTAGATTTTTCTGATCACTTTCATGTTGTGTGTTTTTTGCATCCCCATTTGAGTGACGTCATTAAGCTGTGTAGTGACAGATGACAAATGTACATAACACAAACCATTGTTGTGAAGTTACAGTGGGGGGGCCAGTCATTTTGTAGTTCAAAAGCAACTTTTTTTTTCTCTAAGAATGACTCTTTCTGTACCCATCTACTGAATTCATCCCATGTAGTTGCAGTCTGTCTCTTCTGACTATTCATCCTTTTTCTGCTCTCCCGAGAGGAGGTTTTTGGGAGTGTATACATCAGTGTGTGGACGTTTTTCAGTGTGAAAAAATGTGTGAGACCTTTGAGTTTGTGTGTGTGCGTGTCTCATTTGCTGTTGCCGCAGTGAATGGGAAGCGGCAACCCTCTTTGGCAACGAAGAGTGTTTCCCATGCCTTAGCCCTTCAGCCTCTGCCCTGGCAGCCCCGTCTGTGTACAAGACGCTTTCTGCCATTGTGCTTTTACACGAAACGGCTGCTGGCGTCGAAGAGACTACAACAGGGGCCCTTCACTTTCTCTCCCTTTTTAACAACCCTGACTCACTTGTCCCCACGGTAGAGGTTGGTCCTGGGCACAGTTCAAGGGTTAGTGCGCCCCCTCCACCAAATCCTGAACTGGATTGTTAGCGGGGTAGAGGCTATCATCAATCCAGGTTCTGTGCGTACGGGGCCAAAGCCTCTTCGTCAGCTCCCGCTCTTGCTGAAGAGCCACTTGTTCATTTTTGTGCACCTGTCCTGTCCCATTCTTCTCGTGCTTGTATAACCTCCACCACACCACCTGCTGTCCTTCTTCCCTCACCTTTGAACCCCGCGCTCCCACTTTGCCATCAGTGGGGAATATTTCCAACCTGCTCTTTTACAGTATATAAACAACAACAAAAAAATGGACAAAAAAGTATCTGTATTTGTATATACACGTGTCTGAGCAACTATGAGTAATACAATAAAATGGAAATACATTGCTTTGATCATTGTGCTACTTTTTTTCTGTTATTTGACCCAGTTACAGAGGGGTAGAAGTATAAGTGAGATGTACAGCGACCATGTTGTCGCCACACTGTCAAATCTGTCACTGCATTAGGAATATTTACTGCATTCAACCTTCCTACTGCTACTAACACAGCAAATGAACATACTCCTCTCACTCAAGTAAAATCATGTGTCATCATGTGCCAAATTGGATGCTGTCACCATACACACACACACACACACACACACACACACACACACACACACACACACACACACACACACACACACACACACACAATCTCTCTCCTCTTTATGTATCTGCCTATCCGTGCCTCTGCCTAGTTGTCTATGCTGTGAAACAACACCCTCTAAAGACAGATGAGGAGGAGCACCATCCATCAGGATCAAAATAAGACCTTAAACCTCCTTTCACTTCAGTCGGGCGCTAATGAGGACACCTAATAACCTTCTGCTGGACCCCATCAGCGCCATTTAGCTTCACCCTCCATTATCTCTGGTAATTAGACTGAGAGCCAAGCAAGCCCTGAGGACCAAAGGAGGTAAAAAGGCCTCCTGATAAGCCAATTGGAGTGATGTTATGAAAATCAGTCAAATTTGACTTGAGAGAATGTAACACTGCTATTTATATGGGAGGTACATATAAATAGTATAAATAAAATAAGGAAAGCTTGGATTCTTGGAGGATAGTTGTTCTGCCCATATGTCTTTGGTGGTTTTGTAGGCTGCAATAAACCGTGTTGACGCCAAAGACATGAAATCTCATCCAGGATGCAAACGACTCTAGCCTCATCCGTGTCCAAAGCTGGTACTTTTTTAAGCATCATAAAAAGGAACGTTTTACGCATGACAACACAACTTGACATGATGAGCAAATCAGTGTCAAGTTGTTCTTCCTGGTGTTATTACCAGGCTCCAGAGATGCAGGTGTGTGTGTGTGTCTATGAAGACCAATAGAGACAATTCGCAGGGCCTGATCATTAAATCTGAGGTAATGATAGCTTTATGTGAAGATGTGTCCCAGATGTACCATCAAGCTACGAACGTAGTCAATGTCTGTAACCAGCAGTGAGTGAGAGGAGGGCACTGGGATGCGATGGCGTTCAATTGAAACTATGTCACCTCTGAGGTGGCAACATGAATGTGCACAGATTGACCTGTGCATTTGATTCTATTCCTCTTTCTGCAAGTGTAGCTTTCTGATAAAAAAGTTTTATCTTAACACAATAACAACTGAAGAGGCCACTAGTGAAAGGCTCTTGAAGGCATCATTCTCAAGTGAGCCGGCTGCCTCACTGGCTGCATGGTGTTCCGTTTCCATGTGAACAATCAGTTTGATTGACAGCTCTGAATGATGTCTTCAGTTAATCGCTCCAGTGGTTTGAAAAGGTCATAAATCACCCAATTATGTTGCCCCGCTTTATGAATAGATATTTTTTGGGGGGAATATTTAAAACGCCTCCGAGGCATATCAACTTAGTCAACCCCATATTTATTGAGAGGGAGTTGGGGGGTGGCTGCTTGTGCCAGAAATAACTGATAAGCTGAATATATTTTAGAGTCTCAGTCACACTGTGGAATGTCACAGTGTTGATGGGTTAGAAAGTTGGAATTGAATTCAAGGTCAGGATTTATGATTTATGACAGCTTTGACATGTTTCCTGAACAAGTTCAGAAAGAAGAATAAAACTAATTACAGAGAGAAGTGAGAATAAAATGGAATATGTTGGGTAGAGAAAAAAAAGAGATTTGTGAACAAAGCCATCAGCGCATTTCTTTTACAGTTTATCAGAAAAGCACAAAAGATATTTATGTGAGACACCTTGTCTCTGTCAAAGCAAGTGCGGTGTATCTTTCCACCCAGCTGTGTTACCCATGAAAATAAAATGTCTTAGTTACTTTCATTGTACTTGCAGAGTCAGAACCTCAGAGGGAAGAGAAACTCAGAGATCAGATCTTGATGTTGCAGTATGAAGGAATGAGTTGCAGAATGTAGTTTCCACTAAACTGCCTCAACCCTTGAGCTCTGAGCTCTAAATACCGGAAAGCAACATCCTTGTTGCAAAGATCTTAAGGGAGATGCTCTGCAAATGTTTTTTTTTTCTATGAGAGTTTTTTAATCAATTATCAGCCTCAGACGACCAAGGTTCCTCTCTCCGTCTGTCCTTCTATAAATTCAAACCTAGCTGGATGTTACTGCAATGTGTTTCACGCGGGTCATTTTCTTTTACTGATGCCTCTCACACGTTGACCTTCAGGGCCGAGAGATGAGGGCCTGCAGCCAATCCAGAGGAGGATTATGGGAAGATGTGACGCCACTACAAAATATCAACTTCAGGGGAAATGAGACATGAGATTGAAAGAGGTGGTGGTGGAAGGTGAGGACTAACACCGTGGGCTGACGTTTGTGTGTCTGCATATTTTATGTGTCAAGCTTGTCTGATGTTGTAGTCTCGTTTCCAAATCTTCACTCAAAAGGGAAAAATTTCCCTGTGAAATGTGAACTACAATGGGATGGATTGTTTTCAGCGTTGTGTGTAGGCAGTCGGATGCTATGAAGAGCTATGAAAACAGCAGGTTTTCACACAGTGTTTCACACCATGTCTGATGTGTTACATTAAGTATTCACACATGCAGAAATGAAGATTTCCTCATCTGAAGTGACAGCTAATTTCACAGGGAGATGTGACAAAATGAATGCAACCCAAAAGTTTCACCGTGAAACCAACAGAACACTGGCTTGGGCATGAAAAGGGGGTTGTTTGCTTTGAAACAAACCAAATACACAAAACTAGTTAAAATAGAAAAAAACAGTTTATGTCAAACGGTTGCAATAAAATTCACATGGCACATATTTCAATAATGATCAGGGGGTTGTTTTTCCACTGAAGTTGATACCACTTAACTCTGATCTGTTAAATAAACTTTAAGGGTGTGGACTGCAACTGAGTCAAGTTTTGTTTATTCCTACAGTAGCAGAATTTAATTATTGCTGACGATTTTGCTACGCTGGAGTCAGATATCGGAGCCAGAATTATATCCTGCACGTCTATCTGCTTCCTCCCTCACAGAATGGATGAGTTATATTTGTGGGATACTGCTGTGGAATTTGAGCACACCAATTTACCAGCTTTGCCAGAAGGGAAAGGGCCTTGGTCATCTCCTGAGCAGCTCGTTCCACTCAGAGTAAGTGTGCAATTGAAATGAGAGTATTTCCTGCCAGTGCCCATCGAATGAATGAGGCAAACGCGATGACAGGGATATTACACTGACATGCCAACACTAGATCATAGAAAAGTCTTTGCCCCGGGGGTCATAAATTAGATTCTAATGATTTTGTCATTTTGTTAAAAGAATAACTTTCACCTTTTTTTTTGCCTCCATAACCTTTGATTTATGTTTTTAATTTTTTGATGGCAAGAAATAGTCTGACACTTGCACCATTATGGTGTGGATGGGATGAAATATCGTCACAATTCATTTTCTTTTTTGGTTTAATTAGTTTACTTTAAAATGCCATCCATCATTACTGTTGTGGATGAAATTTAGAGAGCACTGAGAGCAGAGAGACTTGGCTAGAAGACGATGTTTTACAGTTGACTTCCTGGGAAATAAATGTTGGCTGCATTATTCATGAGGCTTGCCATAACTTTAATCTGATTCCAAATTCAAGACTTTCCTTCTCGGACAATATTTCACATCACCGTTTCACGATTTCTTTGATGCCGTCATCTCTGTAAATGAGTCTTTCAGGTGGATTATCACTCCTGCTCTTGATAGCATCATATTGTATTTCAAATGAGAATGCATGTCTGAGATTAGATTAGCAGGCAGCTCGATTTAGTGTTCCAGCTTTTCATTAAACCAGGTAGGAAATTTTATGGTTTAGTCTGTAACAAGACATTGAGACAAAAAAATTGACAGTTTTTTTGTTTTGTTTTTTTGGTCTGCAGCTTCACAAACATTCACAAACCTTACAATATTTTATAGATGAATCCTGAACTGCACAAGGTTTCTAACATTTATTTAATTCAAACTCTGTCACTGTATCACCATCCCATTCTTTATCCTGAAGGTTATATATTAATTGCTGGCTTTAATTAATATTGTATTTATTATATGTTTTATTAGTTTCACCTTTAGACTGAAGGTAGCAAACTTTTTAATGTGTTGAGTGCAATTTATGGATATGGACATTAGGTTAAAAGGGCCATGTAGTAGTATTCGTGTGAAACAGCACATTCATCCAACCAACCCAACTAGTACAAATTACATTTTTCAGACCTGGCAACCATAAGATGAAAAGTCTCCTTTTACAGAGAATTAACATGATAGCCCTCCCCATATGTGCTAACCTGAGGACAGGGTTGTTGTCTGGTGAAAATCTTACATAAGGTGCCTCTAAATAAGTAGTAGGTGAGAAGATTAGTAATTAAAATTAAGGAATGGATGAACTTTACAAACAGAATAATTTATGGGCAACTGGTAAGACCTGTTAAACTGTTCTACATACTGTATATTTAACATATGAACAACAAATAATTTATGATAAACTGCAATGCAGCAATGTACATATTTCATATTCAAATTTTACTTTTTATATAATCATCTCATACACCATTTGTAAAACTGACAAGTAGATTTTTATTTAGTCCCCAAAGAATTAAATGTAGGTCTATAATAAAACTTTAAATGAATCTGCTATGCTAATACTGTCCAAATTATGCATTGGGAATCATGTTCTTCCTGGATCTTATTAAATGTCATTATTCTGAAGTGTTACTGAATAACATTAATTATGGAAAAAGGCAAAGCTAATTGCGAGAGTGCTACCTTATGATTGTTTTAATGCGCCATGGAAGTGCATTATTTATCTTGAACCGGCAGAGTGAACACAATATGGGAAATAACTCAGTTTTCTCTAAGCTCACTATTCTTAGTAAAAGCCTGAGGCTATGACAATATTTCCAGAGATCAT